AATTATAAGCATAATTAAGTTGGATTACAACTCCCAATTTTGAACCCAGTTCATGATTATAGTTACACTAAAATTTTTTGAAACAGGGGAAAATGTAAATGTAATACTCCCTCCGTCCTATAATTATTATCTAGTTTGAGTTTTCATTTCTAGTTTAAATTGTACGAAAAGTGAAATCTCTAGATAATAATTTTGGGATAACTGAATTCGCTCATGCAGTCCATTTTCTTTATACATATCGAGTGGAAAAAAGCAAACAAAACAACACCACCGAACGCAAAATAGTGGATTTTGATCACTTTTCAATTTAGACGTGCTTCAATTACGGCCCATTTTTGTTATTGAAGACCAAGTAGCCCAATTAAAAAAGTAGGCTTATTGTACTTGCCCTAAGATGGCTTCTCTTGGAGCAATAAATACTTAAATAGGAAAGGATTCATCGCATTCCGGCATTCAGCCACTGGTGTTTTTTATATACTTTCAGGAATTCAGGCATCGCATTCAGGAATTCATTGGAAATTTCAGCTAAAAATCGGGAGGCCATAATAAGCTCTTCTTGGATGGAAGATCTGTTGATTCCTCCGATCAATTGCGGCTTCACCTTTGTCAGGGTTGATTACCATCATGGTATGAGAGGTAAGATGTCCATTACCGGCCTTTCATTCGAATTCCAGAAACCCAGCACTAGTTAAAGTAGAAATCTGATTCATTTCCACCTATGGTTTTGCAGCTTTTCCTATTTTTAAGACAAGAATCCCTCAAATTCTGATGCCAAGGTTCGTTGGATTGAGGTCCTTACGCTTGAAAATTCATGTTCACTGCAAGAGTATGGATCGACCTGGATTTGGTAATACAACTTAGAGAAAAGGGATTGACGATATGCTTTGGCGGATTTTCCTGATTCTGACGAATTCCAGGTTTCTGCTGCAATGGACAATTGGTTCTGTTACCACATGTCAGAGACTCTAGATTCTATTCACCGGTTCCAACATGCGGGACAAAACGGTTTCGGGCGACTATTTTCACTAAAATTTTCCTTCTGCAGATTATTTTGTCGACCCAACTACTTTGAAAAGCAAGAAAAGTGTTGAAATTCACTTTTTAGATTGTATTGTCTACCCAACTACTTTGAAAAGAAAAGTGTTGACATTCACTTTTAGATTGTACCATTGTAGTTCTATATAGATGTTAGATGCTAACAGCACTAATTTAGTAATAACCAAAAAGAGCTGGCCAGCTTGTTTTAGTTCGATAATCTTCTGTTCGCTGGTTATCGATCAATAGAAGAGTATAACTCTTAGGAAGTTGTTGAGCTAAATGTTCGATTTCGTTATGTCATCTCTGATTTTATTAGTGTTGAATAATGCGAATACATTTCTGTGCTAAACATGTATGTTCTAGACTGTTATGTTAATTTTCACCATCAACTAGAATAGACTGCGATTAGAATATCAAAACAGATCATGTTATTGCTTGGATGTCAAGAACATAAGGCGTGCACCATTGTCACAATATATTAGTAATTACGGAAAGAAAAAGTTGTTTAACATTTGAAGTTCTTTGTAGTACACTATGTAGTACTCCAACATAATGTTCACAGAAAGGCCTTCTTAAGCTACGATTAGAATCTGAAGAAGATTGTTTCACGAAAAGGCCTTCTTAAGAAATGTCGCTCAGGGAGGGCGGGGGCTGATCAGTGATCAGTTCTTTGAAGATTACTTTCAGAGGTTGGATTCTGTTGCTGACAACAAAAACCAATTAACTTCGGCCTGGATTTGTTTATTTTGCAAATGCTTGCAGAACCAACATATTGTAACATTGCATCTGAATTTGCGGGTAGTGACAAAACACATCCATGGTATGGGAAATTCGCTGGATTAACAGAGATTTAAGATAATGTGATATTCGATTTGAGAAGTATAACACGAAAATTCCCCAAAAAGTGCTCTGTGCGACTGCCAAAAAGAAGATTGATGAACTTGCCGATGCAGAGATTCAGGAAGCTGTAAGGGACTTGTGAAAATCAGCAATTTGTGCGTATCGTGTATAGATATATCATGGATTTGATGGTTTCTTCGATGAACAACAGCATTTTTTCGTGATTTCTGCTTCAATAGAAGACACCCTGAAACTGCAATGGCCCTGGAACCTAAACTTTTAGCTCTGTTTCAGCCTATTGATCCCGGAAATCCAGAATTCATACGGCTGAATCTCTGCTTCCTCAAGTACCAGTATAAAGCGAGAATCAACTCAAAGACTTGTAAACGGGGAGATTGTCTGGAAGTAATTAACTTTTGCCGCGATCTTCTTTGTTGCTTTGTTAGAACAGATCGAAACAAGGAGCTAGTTCAATCTCTTTCGTGAATCCTTGTAAAGAAAATTTTGAACTATGCACCAGGGGAGCACCATCAGGAGGAAGAGGTTATTGCAGTGCTAGCTGAGGCAGCTTTTCCCAGTGCCGCGATGCAAAGAGATCGAGCTGCAGATAGTAAGCAAGAACCAGCTGTTGCATTGTCACCGGGTTCCGAGTTACACACAAAACTTTGTCTTCTCATGGCAGAGCTTTTCCTAAAACAAGAAGTCAATACTCACAATCCCCTGATACTTTACAATTATGACCTAGTTTTAAGAGTTGATATGATCGTCAATGACCCGAGAGCTTTTCACAAAGATTCGTGTCAGCAAGGCAATATGGAATGTTCTTAAGCAGAGTTTGGCACTCACTAAAATACTTTGGTGAAACATTCACTTCCAGAATTTGCTTCGGGAGAGGGCTAATCTGTCTTAAGGAAATCGTGTCTTTCACGAGTCTTGAATTTTCCCTTAATTTCTCCAACTCTTATTCTTGCCATTTCGAATACACTATCCTTAGTATTTACCCAACACCAGCTGTTGCATTGTTCAAAACCTTTTTTTGTTCGTTTTTTTTTTTGGGGGAATAAAACTTGTTCAAAAACCCTGGAACCTGAGATTACATTGATCCGTGAGGAAAACAGGGACGGCAATGGAATTTGAGCTAGGATAGTTCTGTGGTTGAAAACTTTTTGCAGCAAGTTTTGAGTGAAAACATTCAGTTATATCGGTACGAAGCTTTGATTTACTGATGTAGTCTCAACTTCAGTACCGTATCTAGTGATGCAGTTCAAGTTCCTGCATGTCGATACAAGCTCACTGTAGAATAAAAGTTTCCTTTTGTCATCAATACCACTTCACTACCCGCATCATTGAATGGCCACAGTTCCATTCTTACAGGATAAACAAAAGCTTTCCAAATGTTGTTTGTAAGACACGGATGAATTGGCGATTTTGACAAGTCCTTAGAGCATCTCGAAACTTTGTCTCTATAATTAGCTCATCAGTCTTTCTTTCTTTGGGAGTTACCTAGCAAACTTAGCACTTTTGTAGACTTTTCGAGTAAGAAATCGAACTTGGAGATGAAGTTTGATAGAATATATAAATACGGAAACCCTAATTAGGGTTTAGGGTTTCCGATAATCACCGCTAGGGTTATTGTAATATTGTACTATATATATGATGTTGTACACATGTAATAAGACACGTAAAATATTCTTTCAAAGTTGAAATGTGTATCTTGAAAATCACATCCGTGTAAACTTCTTATGACCTCTTCCGCCACTCCACAAAGTAACCCAACAAATGATCCATTATTGTGCATGAGAAAATCGACTGCAAAAGCATTCATAGAAAGAACCAATCCAGGCCGAGTTTATACATAGCAGTCATTCACTGATCAAAGTTTTCCTAATAATCAAAAGGAATTTTTGGATTGGATCTATTTTTAAAATACGCATTTACCTTTATTCTTCCGCAAACCTGATGGAGTATTTCTGAGTGACAACATTTCTTTGTACTTGCCAAATAAACGCGCACAAATAACTTCATCACATTACCTGAAGATTCTGAAGGCCTAACTTTTCTCCTCTGCTTGTTTTGGTTTAAATTTCAGTTTTCCTAGTCGAAAGATGGTGGCCAATATGGACAGTAATGCAAGACCCATAGACGCCTAGTCATGAAATTACCATAACTTGTTTTTGACTAAACACCAAACTTGACTGAAAGGAATGAAAACAACCAAATGTTAACAAGGACTGAAAATTTCAAGCTGATACAGCTGAAAGGTTTTATCAAAAACTTGATGCAAAAAGTTAACTTGACAATTTTCACTTCTTCTCACAACCACAGAGTTATCATAATACTAATCCCATTGCCATTGCTGTTATTCACAGGGAAGTGTCTCCAGAAACAGACTTTAAATAAGTCAAATGACTCAGAAGTTGCGGATGCAGTCTGGATTGGACTCTCAGCATCACAGGCACCATTGAAGCTACAAAAGAAGGAAGAACATATTACAGCCACCCAAGAGAACACCGGGTAATTCAGTTTCAGAACTGCTTTCCGGATTTTGCTTAGAGAGACAATAATAGGCTACAGACAGCTGCAACATTGTAAGACAAATAAGTTGCAGTGAACAATCGAAATTCATCTTGTTTGATAATCATTCACAGACCAAAACATTCCATTATTCTTCAGGAAATACATCCACCTTTCTTTTTCTTTTGTAGGAGCATATAACTGAGGTTCATTTCTTTGTACTTAACTGGACCTAAACCCTCATCAAACTACACCGAGAGTACATAAATGTATAGTTTCCTCGGGCTGTTTTAGTTTTGATTTTAATCTTCCTAGTCAGAGGTTGATTACCAAGGGACAGTATACGAAATAAACATCCCATTTTGGAGGGGAACCTACTTGCCTAAAACTTTAGATGGGTGAAATTGTGATGCAAATGACCCTTCTTCAAGGTTTAGATAATGTCAGCTAATCCCAAGTCCATAATAACTAAGATAAAATTTTACTATCACACATGACACAAAGGCAATGAAAATAGAGGAACATATTTGCTGCAAAATGTAGCAAACTTACTTTCAAGGTCTGCATTAGCACCATGAAATAAAGTTCATAATCAACCTGATTATGGGTCAGGAGCGATTGATATCGACTTTTATCTCTGGTGTCTCATCACCTATTTCTTTTGCTGACACTTCCACAGATTGCCCACACCAGTGCACTTGAACCTTTTGTAGTGTAACGATACTGGCAAAATCGCATGGAATTCTCTTCAAATCCTTGCAATTGCGTAACACTAGTCGTTCTAGGCTGGGAAGATGTTCATAAGAAGCATCCCATTCAACAAGATTCATGGTGTCCAATTCCAAAAACTTCAGTTTCTCAAATTCTTCTTCTCTCATTTCCCATTTCTGCCCCTCAAATGCTCCGGCATGCAATTTAAGAACTCTGAGATTTGGTAGCTTCCCAACCACAGAAAGATGATTTTCTTGCAGACAGAAGTTTGACAGAGTCAGTTCCACAAGACTTTGTGGGAGGAGAAAATCCCCAGAATTTGGACTTCCACCATAGCAAATAATCTTTAGCGACTCCAAATGAGTTAAGAAGTTCCATCTTATGACCTCACTGCTTTCTTTGGAAGAGTCCCCTGACTTCCAGAATATGCATCTCAATTTGCGCAGGTTAGGGAACCTTTTTAAGGTCCTCCACCTATCATCTCGACAAGATAGTGATGGGGTGGAAAATGTGACCAAATTTTCCAATTGAAAAGAACTTCCCAAATCTTTGTGAAGACCTAGAAAGTTGAAAGCAGCATGGCTATTCACATGAAGATGCCTCAACCTCACCATGCTCCAAATAGTTTCAGGTAAGATGACCTTACCTCGTGACCCCATGACAACCAATGTTTCAAGTTTCCACAAGTTGGATATTGACGGTGGAATAGATTGCATATAACCACTTAGAGCCAAATATCTCAACTGAACCATTAGTCCTATTTCAACGGGAAAGCTAGTTGCCATGATAGATTCCAAATCCAAAAGCCGAAGTAACTTGAAGTTATGGCAAATAAAGGAGATATCATAAGGACATTTAGGCTGTGAATCAGAAGAGGCAAACATCAAGGACCGAGAAACTGGACCAGAAGGCTGGGAATCAACAAAATGTGGTCGTTTCACATTAAAGCTCAATCTGTAGCTCTCAAAAATTACAGGAGCTAATAGATTCTTGCTACTAACCTCCAAATCAAATTCAGAATCAGGGAAAGACGCATATGGTTCATCATGCTTGGTCACCAGTTGTTGGAAGTTCTCTTCCTTTGCTTTCAAGTGACAAAGATCAAGCAATAGACCATGAAGACGGCATGTTTTAACCTTTCCATTTGATCTTCTTTTGTGGATGTTCACTAGACTTCGGTTTATCAGCTCCATCAAATAATCCTCTGCAACCTCTTCCAAGCTCTTCCACTCAACTTCCTCTATGAACCCTTCTGCCATCCAACAACGTATCAACTTGCAAACATGAATATCTTTGTCCTCGAGAAAACCCCCCAGGTAAATAAAGCATGCTTTTAGATATTCCGGCAAGTGAGTATAGCTCAGTTCTAGAATTTCCTTGCAGCGACTTTCAGGATTTCTAATTATCTCCGAGTTTAAGCTTTTTGAGACTTTAATCCATGAATCCTTGTTACTTTCTAGCTTTTGCAGGAGTCCAGCTATCGTGACAATTGCCAGCGGTAACCCTTGACATTGTTGAGCTATTTCCTTTCCAACTTCCAACAACTCCTTAGGACAAGCCGCACCTTTAAATATCTTCTTTTCCAATAGGTTCCAACTTTCAACTTCTGAAAATGGGCGAAGAGGATGCGGATCACTGTCAGGTTTGATTTTGTTGACCACATCCCGATGACGACTGGTTGTCAGTATTCTACTTCCATTGTTATCATGAGGAAAACATTTTTCCAAGTCATACCAAGCTACAGTGTCCCAAATGTCATCCATAACGATCAAGTACTTGTTCCTCAACAAATACCGGCGTAATTTGGACATGAGGTCATCATCAGTCAGTTTACTAATGTCATCTGTAAGCACATCAATATGACTTAACAGTTCAAGCAACAGTTCCCTTTTTGAGTATGTTTGTGAAACAGTACACCATGCACGACGATGAAAATGACACTCCACATTTCGATTGTTGAAAACTTTTCTAGCAAGAGTTGACTTACCAATACCTGGCATACCTACAATCGAAACAACATCTCGCTGTGAGGACCCTCTGGTTAGGCGCTCGACTATTGCATTTTCTTCGTCGACAAGATCAACCAGCATCTCATTGGTTTCTGGTGCAGTAACTTTTGATATGATCCTGGATGGCATTTGTGGGGTGTTTTCATTTTCAACAACACGGGGCCTCTCATGGATTTCATGAACCTGTTGATCAACAAGTCTGATATCCTCCAGCACATCATAAAACCAGAGTGATTGATGTGAATCAAACTCAATTGAGTCAACAACAAACTCTAGTCTGTATGATGCATCTCTGATGAGATTCTTCAGATTCTTTAATTCTCCCTGCTCGACATCTGTATCTTTTACTTTCACCATAAAAGATTTGAAAGACACTAGATGGAGCAGAACTTCTTCAAAGTAGTGCTTCACTAGTGTAATTGTTTCAGGATCATGTTTTTGAAGCTCTCTTATGTTTCTGCACAGGAAATTAGAGAACCCAAGTTGGAAGGTCTTGGGGAACACAGACTTCGGCAAATGGTGACTTATTTCTGGGAGCTTAGATTTAAGACGTTTCACCTTATCCAACAATTGAGGCAATGAATCGACAATTTTCTCGAACCTCTTGTGATCAGGGAGATAAGAGTAAGAGAAAAGTGTAATTTCCCTAGCAACATCTTCAAGTTGCATGAAGACCGTTTCATCATCTGATGGATTACTTTCCATTTCCAGCTTAGTTGTTAGAATACTTTTGAAATATAAAAGCTCCTTAACAAGGTACTGAATTTGATCCATCTTATGAGCAATGGAAGTGTTGCTGCTCTTCAATAACTCTGTTAAAGTTGACTCGGCCTTGAAAAACAGGATCCTGAAAAGCCACAGAAAAAGTGAGTGGTTTACCAAAGCACTGGTAATCCTCTTGGACTTGAGTGATGTCTGAAGGGATTGTATCTCCTTTGCCAATTCCTCAGCGAGAATCAAACTCTTCTTCACATAATTGGTGTTCCCATGTTGTTGACACAGATCATTCTTAAATGCTCTCAGGTTGGAGAGGATTCCACGAACCCTGAAAAATGGGTTGTCACTGAAAAGGGTGAGTTGTTGCTTGAGAAAAAACTCTGCCTTGAGAAAACAAATTTTCGCGAGTAACTCAGAACAAGGTGGCAGTGCAGCACTTAGATTTTGTTGCCTTATTGCATCCGGATTTTGTTTGTGCTTTCTCAAAACTTCTGCTTTGCAATCAACTGCAACTTCTCGTTGCACAGGACGATGGACAAAGGCGGCCTCCTGTAGGACAGCCTCAATCTCTGCATAGAAACTCTGCATATTACTCTTACCTCTATTTCCAATGTAAATAGAAACTAGGGAAAGCAGCTCCTTTTCAAGATGTTCTCTATCAAACCAATTGAGAAGATAGCGGCAAAAGATGTCGACTCTACTCCAGGGTGTTTTTTCAGCAGTCTTCAGGAATGCGAGAACAAGCCGTAGGAATTCTAGATTTGTAGGATCAATCTCCTGTAGCAAATCCATCATTTCAGTTGCCATAACATTTGCAGTTTCATCGGTGTCTTTTCTATTGAACCAGAAATCGCAGGATTGAACTACAATTTTCAGGATCACAGATGCCACTTGCCAACGCTTAATCTTCAATTTAGTCTCAATCGGGGTTTTCCCTATATCGAGACTATCAAACAGCAGGCAGATTGATGATAGCTCCCGGTAGAGGAAAACTAGCTTTATATCAACAACATACTTGCCTGCATCATCATCATATGACCACCTATTTTGTACTATAAATCCATCAAAAAGATCCCGAATATCCTCATAACCAGACACTTGGACACAAATGTCTGAGTTTGATAAGTCCTTCACAGCTGCTTGAATCCAAGTCTCTATAAGCTCATCAGTCTTCCTTTTGCAGTCAGCGAGCAACCTGAGGACATCGTGAGACCTTTTCAGGTCGAACTTCGCATATCCAACCTCACATGACCATAAATCCCGCAACACCTCATCTGCCACACCATGAATTTTCCCGAAAAGATTTTCAGACATGACGAACTGATATGCATTACTATACTCCATGGAATTCCAGAGCATTTTCAAAAAGAACCAATCCAGGCCTAGTTGAGTGATATTTTCAGCGATAGGATCCAACATCTGATTGTAATCACCAGTGATTTCTGTAACTTGACGACCTTGGTCCCTACACCCTCTTGATTTTTCTTCCCTAATTAATTCCTTCCACTCAATGAGTAACTCCTCGACATTTGGAAAGACAAAATGTCGACTCCTATCCAGAGTGGGATCCATTTGCTTTTCTTTTCTTTCTTTTCTTTTTTTCAAATGTTACACAGGGATTCGTCCCATATTTCTGCAGATAAGAGAAAGTCGGCACTAAGAAAGAGCAAAACAAGGTAGAGATTTTGCTGGAAACTAATTGCTGGATTACAAGAGGGAAATCAGAATAAGTTGAAAATTAAGTGAATGTAGCATTTTGTTGGTCCTGTTAACTGTTATGCGTAAGCTCAACATTTCTAATAACTCTGCTAATCTTCCAATTTCAAGGCGGTAGCCTCAACATCCAACATGTTCTTTACATTTTAGTCGTTGAATTTGCTTTCAATAACTCAACATCAAATTTTGATGAAGGCATGAAAAAAAAAAAGTCTTACAAAGGCTACACTTAAATCGACGCATACCAGGAGTAAACTCCCCAGAGACAAGGGACCAGAAAATTAGATTTAATTTGATCTAATTATTAATATTGGGCTATAAATCCAACATTATCAATTGGACCATTAAAATTTAAATAGTTGTAAGTCCTAACTCATTGCTTAAAATTGTCCAGGATGATAGAAGAAACATGTTGAAAAATCTAGCAAATGTCTCTTGACTTGCAAAAACATCTATGAAAATTTATATAGAGAAAACATACAAATATTAGATTAGAAAAACATTTAGGTATTTAAAAAAATAAAGGAATCTATTCTCAGAAAAACAGTCCACATTGAGTTTTGAGATATGTATTATAAACAGTATAAAACCGCATTGAGTTTTGAGTTTTGTACTATTTTGAGAAAAATATTACAAAACTCAAAACTCAATGTATATTATTTTTTTGATAGAGGTAATAAAATCATCGAAGAACTATAACTTTGGAGGAATTAGGCAGAGTGTAAGGAACCAAGAATTGCTCCAATGGTTCAGGAAGGGAGGGGACTTCCTAGGAGCCTCAGGATGGATTCCTAGGGGGGGTTGGATACAGGAGATTTTGAGGATAGTTGTAGGGGGTAGATGGGGAGTTTAAGAAAAGAGCATGAACCACTCGGCCATGCACTTCCCTTTACTAACAGCCTGTCTTGAACCACTCACAGTGACGGAGCTAGGATGTAAATTCACTGGAGGCACAATGATCTCATATTAATGCTAAGTAAAAAGAAATATATCTATATATATATATATATAATGTTCTTTATTTCTGAAAAATAACTTAATTGGTTAAACATATATTTAGAAAGTAAAATCATTTCTTTTATATTGAAAGAGTAATAAATAATATACATAAAAATAACTTTAAACTTGAACTTTTGAAAGCGAAACATCTCACTAAATAAATGATATAAATTACATTGAATATTCATATTTTCATTTTGCTTGTGTAAATTTTCATGTAGATCCTTACTGTAAGATTATTATCTTCTTTAATTTTAATAAATTCTCAGTGCTGCACAAAATTACAAACCATGCAATTGGTATTTAGAGATAAGCTTGGAAGTAGCGGTAATTGGAACCATAATTTATTAAGTAAAATCGATTGGTTTTGTAATAAGTAAATTAATTGAAAGGAAAATTGATTGGAGCATTGTTCAATATTAATAAGAAATAGAACTAAGTGGTGGGATCTGGACTAAAAATTAGAAAATTTACTACGGGAACATAACTTTTCTACCGACATACGCATTGCTGGATGGTTGCTTGTATTTTTGGAAAACTGCTCACTGAAACATTAGCATCATATAAACCACAATACCTATGAAAGTTCTGGAATTAAGTGGGGGCATGTGCCCTCAGTGCCCCCATCCGTACCTGTATTACGGAGATAGATTAGGGGGTATATATATACTTTTGTATACATGTAATTATAATTGTAACTAGGGTTTTACCGAAACTCTAATGACTCTCGTTTCACTATTTATTCAGTGTTGATGTTAATATGGCTGGTAGAGGAGTGAGCCGTTTTCTCCTTTCCCTCATTCTTGTTATGGTATCGAGCAGGTTGAAATTTTTTTAATCTGCAGCCATGTCTTCTTGTTCGGAGTCTAGAGACGATGAGATTGCTATTCATCGGACCATTGCTCCATATGATATTATGTTTAATAACTATCCAGGTTCTTCGATCACTCAAATTGTGTTGAAAGGGGAGGCCAACTACGATGAATGGTCAAAGGCGGTCCGAATTGCTCTCTGGGCTCGCAAGAAGTTTGGTTTTATTGATGGTTCTCTCAAGAAGCCGAAGAAGAAGGCCAATCTCGAGGGTTGGTGGACTGTACAATCTCTACTTATCTCATGGATTCTAAATTCCATTGATCCTGCAGTTCGATCAACCATTCCACAGAAGAAAATTGCTTCGGATTTATGGCAGCATCTTCAACAACGGTTCTCGGTCATTACGGCCGGCTGCAACAATTGTGGGATGACATCGGTTAATTTGATTGCCCATCAGTGTCGGAGTTGTGTTCTCCGTGTGAAGCCCTCATGTCTGCTGCCTTGGAGAAACAACGTGAGACTGAACGTGTTCATCAATTCCTGGTTGGTCTCAATTTGGATATCTACGGCACAGTTTGATCAAATATTCTGTCCCAGGAACCCATGTCAAATCTTAATCGAGTTTATTCCAAGATGATTTAAGAAGAAAGGCTTCGTACGCGGGCTTTGAAGCTGGCAGCTGTCGGTGATTTGATGAGTTTTGCGGTGAAGGCTGCAACTTCAACTGCTGCGGATTCCGGTGAAGATTTGGCTACTGCTGCTGCTATCGGATCAAAAGTCAGAGGCCAGGATAAATTTTGCACGAAGTGAAATCGTCCAGGACATGATCTTAGCAGCTGTTACAAAATTATTGGTTATGTTGAGGATCAAAATTATTGGTTATCCCAACTATCTATATGTGAATGTTTTAATTCAAAATTTTTATATGAAGTATTGTATTTGAGTGTTTTAATTAACCTTTTAATTAAACTGACCACTTAGTTAATTGTGCATGCATAATTATTGAATGTTGAGAGAGTGAACATAGTGTCAGAACTGCTTGAACTAGTCTATGACAATGGAGATAACAACTCTTGGTTTCAATCATTAATGAGAGTTAGTTGATTGGCATATGTGATCACTAAGGCTAAAGAAATCAATTGCTCAGGATAATGATTAACAGAGATGGAGGTAATTTGGTTATGCCGGGACTTTTTATTGGCATTGAAGGTGAAAGTAAAGATTTATTGGCATTGAAGGTGAAAGTAAAGAACACACGTGCCTGACTAAACAATGCTCATCTGTGTAAAAAGAACTATAAGAATCAAGATAGGAAGGAGGATGACCCTAGTTCTTTTACACTCTGCCAAGTGATTTTCTCACTTTCTCAAGTGACAATCTGTTTTGTTTATTTTTCTTGTTTACACTTTAATCAGATTTTATCGATTTACTATGGCCCATATGGATCAATGTAGATCAATCCTGCTTACTGTGATCTAATAGTTTTGAGTAGGTTAATTTTCTTTTTGGTGCTGTCAACGACTTGCAAACAACGACACATCTACCACCTAGCCTACCCTGGGATAAACCTTTTGAGGTGGCTCCTGTGTTTCGCACTTGTTCCATCTACAAATTCTGCGGTATCTCTAAACTTGTCCTATCAGTGGTTCAAAGATATGTCCGCACGTAGCACTTAACTTATAAAGCAGTGTCCTTTAGTACCACTTGCAACATCACAGCTCATAAACTGACCCAAACTTTAAGACTTTCATCATCACTAGCCCAAAATGGTTAACCCAAATTATTAATAATTTATAAGTATGAGACTTATGTACAATTCATTCACTTACCAAAGTATCAATATGGGACAGGATGTTAACATACGAGTCTCATAAGTTGATCAATAACTTTTTCGTCCTTGTTAGTCTAAAATGATCAACCCAAGTTACAAATACTTTATGAGCTTGAGACTTATATATATGTCATTCACTTAGTAAAGTAGCGATGGCACATGATGTCATAATCCACGCTTTTCTGGATTTTTGTGTCCTCGTAAAGCCCAACAAACAAGAATATGGTCTAGCCTCCACCCGGAATAAGAACCCAAAGACGGCTAACGTATTTTGCACTTGTCCTAATCTTTGGACTCAACAGTATTTCTGTACTTGTTCCGTCAAATAAGCTTAGAGGTGAGTTCTTATGTATCACTTAACTTTTAGAACTCACCTCTTAAGCCTTATAAATTGACTTATTAAATTTTAAGATTTTGTCTTTGTTAGCCCAAAATAGTCAGCCCAAGTTATTACTAGTTCATAAGTTTGAGAATTACATACAGGATATTTACTTTAACGTAGTAAGACAGAATTTCACATATAATATTTTATTTTTTCTCTATTTGCTCGCATCATCATGGCCGACAATAATGTCAGAAATAACATTTCATTTTTCCACCATTTGTTGACATCATCATACACGTAAGTAATGTAACCAATAATCGGTGCCTGAAATTTGAAAAATTTCCGGCCGGTCGGCTAAAAGAAATTAATATTTAAAATTTTTTATTTATTTGAAATTTCAAAGTCTTGAATACTCAATATCCCCTTGTCAGAAGTGGGTCAACTGTCAACTTAAGAGAAAAGTTTAACAACATTAAATTGGGATTAAAAAAGTTGTGAATTATAATGTTTTGGACCAATCTAGTTAAATGTTAATGTTTAGGAACATCCTCAGGCTTTACATATACTGTACAAAATACCCAAAGTAACTTAACACTCCTTTTGTTGACTTTTCCTTAGAAAGTTTTGGCCCCTCCTTAAACTTCTTAAAATTTATAACTGACTCCCAAATACTAATTATTTTGTGCATTAAAGACGCTGTGAATCAATTTTGTAAAATGAAATTCACTAATATTGTTATATCACTCTTTAAAAAACATGCTATAAATTTCAAAAATAATATAGCTCCAACCACATTGAATCTTAGGTGTTTTTTTTTTTTTTCCCTTGTCTAATAATGTGAATTTTATACTCATACATTAGTGTGAATGCTATGAATAACTACAGTTTTAAGAGTGTATTTTATCCATTTTGTTATACGACTTAGTACAATACACTTTAAGAGTTTGAAGAGAACATTGAACCTCTATCATAGTACAATCAACTAGACCAAAATAAAGGAAAGAATGTGAAACATCATCAACCGAAAGTCGAAACCAATCCGAGTACGAGAACCAGGCAACCAGAAAAACAAAATGGAGGTAGGCAGCGTTTAAATTACAAAAAAAAGAGTTCAAGAGTTCAGTACAGAGAGGAATACCTTGTTAATGAAGGGGCTTCCGTCAGAAGTATGACCAATTAATTCTCTTTCTCAATGAACTTCTAGTGGAACTTAACAAGAAGATCAAGAACCCTTTGTTCTTCCTTCCATTTTCCGAGTTTAATTTGTTTTTGGTTGGGAAAGGAAAGGTGGAATTTTGCGGAAAAAGAGAAGTCCATCCGACATCTTTGTGGAATTATCAATGGCAAGCTTAACACTGTGGAACTTTACAAAGGAATTTTTTGGCCACAAAAATCGTATCAACTCCGATTTTGCCTTGCATTTTAACCCTTTTTTTTTTGGTAAAGACAAACTAAGAATGGGGCATCCCCTCATCGTGGTCAGCCATTACTTGCCTGCTTTCTTTGGAAAAGGAGTCAAGTATGGCTGCTTTCAATCAATAACTTTTTTTCACATGTGAAAAATCGAGTCTTTTTTTTTTATTATTATTATTCAATTAGCTTTTTTTTTAAAGATGCTTCCTCTGAAAAAAAAAAAATAAATGAAAAGAAGCAACCGAGGGTGGGTGGACAACACTAATTATGTCGTGTGCCAACGACATATCAATCCCTGCATGAAGAAGTTGAGAAGTCTTCTGTAAAGTAGTCTCATAATATATGTGCTTAATCTTAAAAAACCGTTTCCTTGGTACGAAATCTCAAATCGCCTAATCAAACCACCATATATATCAATTGGATCATCTTTAGAGGATACTTCCCACATTCTAAAAAATAATCTATATTAAATTTCGGGATTAGTTCTTAAAACATTGGAGAGTGAATTGTAAATTTTCCAAATTTTTCATTGTACTTCAAAAGTTTGTACGTAGATCATAAAAACAAAAGTCGAAAAACTGATGATGGTTGACCAAGTCAAATGTCAAAATTCGCTAATTAAAGTTTAAAAATACTTTTATGACTAAATTGAAGTCGGTCTCAATTTAAATAAGACGTATTCTTAACAATGTAAATTTATAATGAAGGATAAATACAAATACATATCATAATATTGCTGTAATGTTTGTGGAGTATAGTATTATGAAACTCATTCCAAAATTTCATTTCAACCTATGAAGAGGTGAATAACATTAAGTCTCTGGTAGTTTGGTTGTTGTATCTTTAAGTGCGAGATTGAGAATTCGATTCGTACCACGGACACGAGAAACAGATAACTGAAAGAAGAAACAGGTAGCTAACCAGCAACCAGCTTAAACAGGTACCTCTAAAAAAGTTTTTAGATGTGCAACATAAAAAATATAATAATAACATTAAGTGGTGTCTTGTCAATTTCCTTGGCCGGACTACGAACAAAACAAAAGAAAAAGGGCCACTCTCTCAGTTGAATTATCGAGAAGAAATCCGTTTACAAGAAGAAAATGATGAAAAAGATATTCAAAAATGGCAATTCTAAACTATTGTAGTTTGAGAACTTGGGAAAGTTACCAGCTGGCTCCTTCAAAAACTATTGCCCTATTCATCCATGGATTTTTTGTACGTCAAAGAGGGTGATTATTAGAGATTTTGCATGGCGTCGACTCGCTCATCCAGCTAAGGTATTAGAGCATTTGCATCGTTGAACTTGATTATTGGGCTACAGATCGAATTTGATCATTAAGTTTTTTGGTACAATTTGATCATTAATTCATTATGCTCAGAAGACGGTGTTTATTCGAGATTTTAGCATCCTTTTGGGTTAAGAAAGTTGACGGAACATCGATTAGGTCGGGCTAGTAACTCCACGGTTAGGACTTAGGTCGACAAAAGTGTCCATTGAGAAATTTTCATTGCCTCCACTTCGAAGTCGCAATGAGGATGATGATATCTAAGTCAATGTTGGGTTATATTCCCTCTATTCCGAAATAATTGTCCAGTTTAGATTTTCATCTTTAGTGCATATTATACTAAAAGTAAAATTCCAAACTAGATAGTAATTTACGGATAGAGGATAGAGTTAGTCATAAGGCTCTAGATTTTAGTCAAGACATCGACGAAAAGTGTTAATTAAAAAATTTTCCATCTCATTAATTAACTTAATCGTGGAGTTATAGAGTCAGTTTTTTTTTTTCCCATTTCCATTTTCATTGTCCTTGTCGAAACGGACATGAGACTCTCTAGTCCTTAATATTGAACTACAAGTGCATGATAGAGACGAAAACACTTTTTAAACGGAAATTTTTTGCATCCAAAGTTTCAGCCTTGGCTTTCATCAAACTTAGTTGTCTTCAGTTCTCTCCATAACAAAAGAGCCATCCTCTTCAGAAGAGATAATCACCACAAATCCCACAAACTTCTCATTTTTATTTTTTTTTCAAGCTATTTTTAAGTTTCAGAACAGATTAAAATGATCCAGAGCACTGCTGGCTTTTTGGCTCCCTAGCAACACAACACTTATTTCGACATTTGAATCGCTACGATGTTTTGACGGTTGAAGACACAATCAAACCATATCTGAAACTCACTTTAAGATGAATTGTCAAGTTGTCAACCCAATAATAATCAACACCTAACAACAATTATATGCTTCAACCTGAAACAACTGAAAATTGCTGTATAAAGTTTCAACAACTTGACAGTTTTCACTTGTTCACTGAACCATAAGTTCATCTCCAGTACAAGTTCACGATTCAGATTTGTTTTATGACCACCATCATCCACATCTGTGGCTGCAAAAGGTCGAAAATATGATCACAAGTCACAACAAAAATTTAAAATCAAATGTACATAGATGCCTCAAATGCATTGTAAGGAAACAAATAGAGTGTCAGAAAAAATCTAACTTGCTGTTAGGGAGCAATCCTGTTCTGATTTCAGTTATAAGCAACTGATAATGACTTTTATCTCTGGGATTTCGTCACCAATTTCTTCGGCTGACGCTTCCATAGATTGCCCGCACCAATGTACTTCAACTTTTTGCAGTGTAGCAATATAGGCAAAGTCGGAAGGAATTCTCCTCAAATCCTTGCAATTGCGTAATACAAGATGTTCTAGGCTGGGAAGGTGATCATTTGAGGCATTCCATTCAACAAGGTTCATGGTGTCTAATTCTAAGAACTTGAGGTCCTTGAATTCATCTTCCTGCATCTCCCATTTCTGCCCCTCAAAGTCTCCAGCATGCAATTTTAGAACTCCGAGATTAGGTAATTGCGCAATTACAGAAAGATGATTCTCTTGTAGGCAGAAGTTTGATAGAGTCAGCTTCTTCAGACTTTCTGGGAGGACAAAGTCACCAGAATCAGGAGTTCCACTGAAGCAGATAATTTTCAGTGACTCCAAACGAGTCAAGAAATTCCATCTTATGAACTCACTGCTTTCTTCGGAGGTTTCTCCAGACTGCCAGAATCTGCATCTCAATTTCAGGAGGTTAGGAAACCGTTTTAATATCCTCCATCTATCATCCCTGGTGGACAATGATGGGGTCGAAAAGCTTACTAAATTTTCCAAATGAAAAGACTTCCTTCATCTTCATCAGGATCTTGCAAGTCAAAAAGGACATGATTATCCACATGAAGATGCCTCAACCTTGTCATGCTCCAAATAGTTTCTGGTAAGATGACTTTGCCTTGTGTTCCCTTCACAACCAATGTCTCCAGTTTCCTCAAGTTGGATATTGATGGCGGAATAGATTGCATATAACCACTGATAGCTAAATATCTGAGCTGAATCATTTGTCCTACTTCCAAGGGAAAGCTGATTGCCATGATAGATTCCAAATCCAAAACCCGAAGTGATATGAAGTTGTGGCAAATGAAGGAAATGTCATAAGGACATTTAGGTTCTGAATCAGAAAATGCGAAGAATGTCAAGGACCGTGCTACCAGGTCAGAAGGTCTTGAATTGATGAAATGTCGGCGTTTCACATTAAAGCTCACTCTGTAGCTTTCAACAATTACAGGAGCTGGAAAAATCTTACTATCAAACTCCATATCATATTCTGAATCAGGGATGGATGCGTATGGTTCATCATGCGTGGTCACGAATTGATGGAAGTTCTCTTCCTTTGCTTTCAAGCGGCACATATCGTGCAATAGATCATGAAGACGACATGATTTGACTTTTCCATTAGATCTTGTTTTGTCAATGTTCACCAGGCTTCTATTTATCAACTCCATCAAGTACTCCTCTGCTACATCCTCCAAGCTCTTTAACTCGGCTTCTTGAATAAACCCTTCTGCCATCCAGAAGTACATTAACTTGCTCACAGGAATGTCTTTGTCCTGAGGGAAAACTCCCAAATAGATAAAGCATGCTCTCAAATGTGGAGGCAGATGCTTGTAGCTCAGCTCTAAAATTTCCATACAACGATTTTCTGAGTTGCTGATTATCTCTGACCTTAAACTTTTCAAGACATTTCCCCATAGATCCTTTTTGTATTCTAATTTCTGGAGAATACCGGCTATTGCGACAACAGCAAGTGGCAATCCTTGACAATGTTGAGCTATCTCCATTCCCACATCCAACAGTTCTTCAGGGCAGCTTGAACCTTTAAATATCCTGTCTTGTAACAACTTCCAGCTTTCCGCGTCAGAAAATTTACGAATAAGATGTGGTTCACTGTCAGGTTTTATTTTAGAGATCACATTCTGGTTGCGACTGGTTATTAGAATTCTACTTCCGTTGCTGTCATCAGGGAAACACTTTTCCAAGTCATTCCAGGCTGCAATGTCCCATATGTCATCCAAAACAACGAGATACTTGTTTCTCAACAAGGTTCGGCGTAACTTCGACATGAGGTCATGATCGGTCAGCTTGATAATATCACTAGTAAGCACTTCAAACTGGCCTAATAGTTCAAGCAACACGTCTCTTGTAGAGTATGTTTGTGAAATAATACACCATGCACGACGATGGAAATGACACAAATATTCCAACTATTGTACAGTTTTCTAGCAAGAGTTGTCTTACCAATACCAGGCATACCAACAATCGAAAGAACATCTCTCTGTGAGGACCCGTGGATGAGGCTCCCAACAATAACATTTTCCTCGTCAACAAGATCAACAAGCACATCATTATTTTCTGGTGTAGAATTTCGTAACACTGTCCGCGATGAAATCTGTGGGAGATTCTCTACCTGGGTAGCACACTTAGAAACATGGACTTCACTGAGCCTATCAATGCGTCTACTATCCTCTAGCAGATCATTCAACCATACTAATTTCTGGAGCTTCAAACAGCCATCAACTTCGATTGACTCAACAACATATTCCAGTTTATATGCCACATTCATGATGTGATTCGCGAAACTCTTTATGTCTCCCAGCTCAACAATTGAAGCTTTTATTTTCATGAGGAACAATTTAAAAGAGTCTGCATAAGATAAAACTTCCTCAATGAGATAATCGACGGATATAATTGACTCAGGATCATGTATCAGAAGCTCCCTAATGTTGCTGCATAGGAAATCCAAGAAACCAAGTTCAAAGGTTTTAGGGAAGACACACTTCACTAGATGCTGGCCTATTTCCAGCACCTTAGCCCCAACATTGTTCACCTTATCTAGCAATTGAGGCAATGAATGGACAATTTCCTTGAACTTCTTGTCATCAGGGAGATACGAGCAAGAGAGAAGTATTATTATCTCCCTAACAACAACTTCAAGTTCTGTGATGACGCCTTCATCATCTGAAGGGTTATTTGCCAGCATGACTTTCACAATCCCTTTAAAATATGTAAGCTTCTCAACAAGGTATTGACTTTGATCGATCTTTTCAGCTGTGAAAGTGTCTTCAATCCCCAACAACTCAGATAAAACTGACTCGGCCTTGAAAAATATTACCTTAAAAAGCAAATGCTGAAGAGAGTGTTTTACCACAGGACTAGTTATCCTCAGAAAATAAAGTGACCTCTGAAGGGAACTTATCTCATTTGCCATTTCTTCAGCGAGTACCAAACTCTGCATTACGAATTCGGTCTGCCCTTGCTTACATGGACCTTTGGTAAATGCTCTCAGGCTAGTGAAGATCATATTGACTTCAGAAAATTTGTCATCATCAAAATGAGCCAAGGCATTGTGAGCTTTGAATTGCTGTTTTAAGAAAACCTCTGCTTTGAGGAGACAGATTTTCGCTTGTATCTCAGCTAGCTTCTGCATGTGCTCTAGCATTGAGTTCTCTTCGCCGTCTGCTTCAAGATTGCGATGCAGAATACGATGGAAAAATGCAACCTCCGCTAGCACTGTTTTCATCTCTGTAAGTAAAATGTTCATATCCTGGTCACAATCCTCTAGTGCATTCTCAATAAAGCGAATCACAAGGGAACTTAAGTCCTTCTGAAGATCTTCTCTGTCAAACCAGTTGAGAAGAAAGAGGCAAAAGTTATCTACCATAAAAAGGCATCGATTCCGTAAATGCCTGTTGGAGTTGATTGAATATTTCAGGAATCTGAGATTCAACTGTAGAAACTCGAGATTTGTAGGATCAATCTCCTGAAGCAAACCAACAATTTCAGTCTCCATAACATTTACAACTTGAGGGCCATTTCCATTGAACCAAAGATTACAAAATCGAACTGCAATCCTCAGAATCACAGATGTTGCATCGCTAAATAAACCCAGAGCGCCAAGAACATCCCTGTTTGCATTTATACCGAAACCATTGAAGAGCTTGCATATCGATCCAATCTCGCTGTAGAAGATAACTAGCTTTGTCGTCTCAAGAACACCATTGCCCGCACTACTGAATGACCACAGAATTTTGCTTGTAGTAGGATCAGAAAAACATTTCCAAATAGTACCATAACCAAAATCCGCACGAATGGATAATTTCGACAACCCCTTTACACCTTGTCGAATCCCTGTCTCTATAAGCTCATCAGTCTTTCTTTGCCAGTCACTGAGAAAACTTAGCACACCGTGAAGCTTTTCCGGTGTGAACTTCTCAACTCGAACATCACGTGAATGTAAATATCTCAAAATCTCATCCGCAACACCAAATGCTTTCTGGAACGTAACGGATAATATTTCCTCCTGGCTAAGCTGAGCTGCATTACTATTGTTTACAGACATATAAAGTATATTCAAAAAGAACCAATCCAGGCCGAGTTTATTGATTTTCTCAGCGAGAGAATCCAGCAACGGGTGGCAAATGTAGAAGGGCTTGAAAAACAGACGATCTCGTTCCCTGAGCTCTCCTGATTTTGCTTTCTCAATACATTCCTTCAAATCAATGAGCATAGCCACCAGCTCGGAAAAATTTTCTGAGATGGGATCCATCTTCATCAATCTCAAATCATTCTCGGAAATTGCGTTTCTCCTGTTGAAAACTTACTCTGTGAAATAATGCAAGGATGAAATGGAAAATGTTGAAAGCAAACTAATACTCCCTCCGTCCAAAAATTATTGTCGAGTTTGAGATTTTACTTTTAGTACAATTTGAACTAAAAATGAAAACTCAAACTAGACAATAATTATAGGACGGAGGAAGTAGTTAAAAAGGAAAGGGAGGAAAGGAAGAAAAATATTCCGAGATAACCAGATTCCTAAACAACTTTGTTCTCCGCCGAAGGAAAAAGGCCTTAAAGGGAGAAACATTCTTTTTTCAAGTAAATCAGCATACAATACAACCAAACCAAAAGTCAGATCAGAACATAAAAACATCATCAATTTCATTCGTTATCATCAAAACTAAAACCGGAACCAACACAAACGAAATGCAATTAGATAAAAACTACAAGAGAAATAGAGGTTAACCAGAAGAAATATAGGACTTAGATAGGAAAACTATTTCATAACAAATAACTCATACCTTGTTGATGATGAAGAGAAGGGGTTTCAAATTGAGCAGAAAACTATTTCTCCGTGTATCTTCTCCCAGGACAACTTCAGAAGAAGATTAACAGTCATTACTTTAAGTAAAGTCCTAAGAAAGTTTCTACTTCTTTCGTTCTTTATAATTTTTTTTTTAAAAAAAAAGGAAAGAACTTATGCGAGAAAAGTGAAAACCAAGGGGATGAGGTTGCAGTCTGAAAGTTTGATCACGGTGGATGTGAAAGAACAATTTGTTCCAGGCTGGAGTTGAGAAATAGATGTATGGATTATTCATCATAATAAATCACAAAATGACAAATAACAACTAACTGGGAGGCTGCTTCAACTTTCAATGGACCCGCCATAAGCATTTGTTTGAATTTCCACAAGTATGCATTCATTTATTGTCTCTTAAGGCCGAGGTAGACAGGGGTATTGGATATTTCTTTTTAAAAAAAATAAAAGAGTAACATATTTTTTCTTTAGTTACGCCCAAAATTGTTAATTACTCCCTCTGTCTCAAAATTATTGTCCATTTTGAGATTTTACTTTTTGTACAATTTGAACTAGAAATGAAAACTCAAACTGGACAATAATTATGATACGGAGGAATACCTTTCTAGCAATAGTTTCAGTGTGTATGATGACTGTTTCGTCGTAAGACGGATCACTTGTCAGCTTCGTTCTTGGAATTCCTTTGAATTATTTTAGCTTCTCCTCAAATATGGATTGAATTTGGTCCATCTCATGAGCCATGGAAGTGCCTTCACTTTTCAATAACTCTGCTATAAATGACCGATTGCAGAAGTGAATGTCTTCTCGAGGCCTCGGGGTTTTCTGCAAAACAGGCCCCGAGGCCCGACACTCCGATGCTTAAGTCAATAAAAAGGATTGCTGGAAGTTTTAGGTATGTAGTATGTTAAGCTATAGATTGTGTACCTGTATTGTGGTGTGAGCTACCCTATTTATAAGTATGAGAATACCTGGACAATCCTCGAATCCTATTAGGTTTCGGGAACCTAAACCGCCTCAATAGTCCTGGTTGGGCTCTTTCTCCAGCTGGTGGGCCGGTCCAGTCTCGGTTATAGATATGGACTCGCCAAGTGCCCCTGGCAAGGGTTAGTTGCATAATAATAAACAATGCTTGGCACAAGGTAGGTGTTACCTGGGACATACCCGAGAATGGACGGGCTACTCTCGTTCAGCTAATTACCGAGCAATATGTCGAGTAGCCTCGATGCAAACGCACAACTCTCGATCTTGCAAAACCGAGGATAACTAGCGAGTTAGATCTTGACCCGGGAAGGCGACCCGCTTCCTAATCCCGCCCAAAATTTCAACCGCGCGTTATTAGTGGGCACGTTCCCCAAACGACAGCCTCACCATCATTACTTTCTTGAAATCCGCATTAACTGTCATATAGTGGTCCGTAATTAGGGAAACGTGGGTGAATAAATTTTGTTTTGAAGGAGAAGGCTCTACCATCCCCTGTTACTCAGCAATTTTTCTTCTTCGCAAAAACCCAAAACTCCCTTCTCCGTCAGAGCATTCCAATCACCTCTGCCGGAATATTCAAGCCTCTACTGGAGATACTGCCCCAGCGATGTTGTCTCCAGGGGATTTGCTATCAAGATTCGGGAAGAATGCTGGGAAGTTACAACTCTAAAGGTGAGTGGTCACGTCCTCCTCTAATAATAAGTTTCCAGATCTAAATCCCCGGTTTCGTTCCCAGTTTTTGTCTTTTTCAATTGTAGCCAGAGTAGATTTGTGCCAGAATTATGGTTAGGAACTCCAAAGGAAAAACTGTCGATGACTTCGTATCCACCATAGACTCTGTCGATAAGGTAGAGAATCTTAGATCCAAATACGACCTTCCTTCAGCCCTAGAGGCAAGAGCCCCGTTAGGAAACGAGAGGGCTAACTCTCCTCCAGGGGGAAGAATTACTGTTGTATGACCGATTCATGCACCTAGGGCTTAGATTCCCCCTCTTTCCCCTGTTTGAGGAGATTGTGCAACACTATAGGACTCCCCTTGCTCGTTTTATCTCAAATTTAATAACGTTTGTACTGGGGTTTGCAAGGGTATGCCAACATGTAAAAGTAATACCTCGATTAATATTGTGGAGGTAGTTCTTCCAAGTATTAGTAGCCTCGACCTCTTTCCAAGACTGGTATATTGTGAAAAGGCGCCTTAGAGTCGGCGTGAAAAAGATGGTCGAGGCGTATGGCGGCTCCCCGGAGTGGAAGCCGGATTTCTTGTTTGTAAGGGCACCAGAGAGTTATTGCCTGCCGTGGAATCTCCGAGAGACGGAGGGTCTCGGGGCCATAAAGGATGAGTGGACCCAAGAGGACGAATAGTGCATCGAGGAGCTCCAGGCAGATGTGGAGAAGATTCTAAAATATTCCAAGGTCGTTAAATGGAACGACGTACAATATTATGTGCCTCCTGTATACGCGAAGGAAGATGATACAGTCAATGTCGAGGCCTCATCCAAAATTCTTCGAGAGACCTCTGTTGAAGAAAATCAAGGTACTAATCATTTGCTTTTTTCCTTTGTTGTTAGGTCATGTCGTCAAGCAACGCTGGTTCTCGATTGTTTGGTGACGAAGATCCTTTTGTCATTGTGAATTCAGATGAGGATGTTACTTCACTGCAGCGCCTCAGAAGAAGAAAAAGAAGAGGATCGTGAAGGTTGGGGATAAGGCCAAATCCAAGAAAGCTAAAACGGATGCGCCCTCGAAGGAAACCACACCGCCGGGTAACGAGATGGTGCCCCCCTGCCACTGAGTCTATTCAGAAACCTCCGCCGGAAGCAGGGCCAAGCATTGTTCCCCCTGTGGCAGAGAAAGGCAAAGGCCCCCTCGAGGGAGAGGCGATAATCTTGCCCCCTCAACTGTTCGAGGGAGGCCCGTCTGTGGCAGTACACACCTTCAGCGACCCACCGTCTATCGTGTGTCCTGTCCTTGAGGAATTTGCTGCCCAGCTGAATGAAGTCGACAGTCTGAGACTGGTAAATAATTTTTCAGATTAGGTTGCGAATGAATATGTATATCAATGTGTTCTTGATATGCTATGTTGGTGTAGATAAGTGCGGCCTCGATGGCCTATCTAGTGCAGCTGAGGAAACTCCGAGAAGATCTGGCCACAGCTCGGGCGGAAAGGGATGAAGCTTTGTTTGAGGTGGTGATTCTCGAGGAGAAGGCCCGCCAAGTTCAAGCCAAGGAGGCGGAGATTTCCATGGTGCAAGCTAAGTATGACGAGCTAGATGAGAAGATGAAGTCCTTCGCTAGCTTGCACATCTCGAAGGAGGAACTGCACCTGTGGTGCATTGCATTCATGTATAAGATGCTGTCTACGGGAGGGATGGCTACGGTACTCGAGGAGATGAACTTGGTTGCTACAAAGCGCGGAGCGCATCGAGTCGGCGTGGCAGGTTTGAGGAGGCTCGACCAGGACAGGCCGATCAAAGCTAAATGGTTCAAGCAGCTCCTAATGAATGACCCGAAGAAAACCATGCACGAGGCCATGGTGAAGGTCCTAACAAAGTTGAGCCTCGAGCAGCTACCTCTGTGGGAGGCTCTGACTGGTGCCCTCCCGAAAATGAGTTCTCCGGTGGACATTGCCTCATTCCCTGGCGACGTTCCTGCTATCCTAGCCAAGGGTCCAAGCGAGGAAGATCACATACCTGACGTACCAGACGAGTACATGGGTATCGAGCTCGAGGATGCCGACGAAGCCACTGAGGAGGACGTTGCTGATACTGGCCATTCTGGAGTCCAGAGAACTGTCGAGGATGCCTCCCAGGACCCTTCCAAGGATTCCCCTCCAGGCAGTGATGTTGTATGAATCCTGCCCTTTGTAATAGCTATTAGGCCATTTAAGTCCCACTGGGCGTGCCACTTGATGATGGTTGGTCACGCGCCGCTGGTCAAACGGTGGAACTCCGGCTAGGGTTTCCTGCAAAACAGGGCCTCAGGGTCTCCCGAGGGTAGACACTCTGATGTTTAAGTCAATAAAAGGGGTTGCTGGAAGTTTTAGATATGTAGTATGTTAAGCTATAGATTGCGTACCTGTATTGTGGTGTGAGCTACCCTATTTATAGGTATGAGAAGACCTGGACAATCCCCGAATCTTATTAGGTTTCGGGAACCTAAGCCGCGTCAAGAGTCCCGGTTGGACTCTTTCTCCGGTTGGTAGGCCGGTCCAGTCTCGGTGATGGATATGGACTCGCCAGTAGTGACTCCTGAATGGATTCTATCGCATTAGCCAAGTCTTTATTGAGTGTCAAACTCTGTTTCGCAAGTTCCGTATTCCCTTGATGACATGAATCTTTATCAAATGCTTTTAGGTCGTTGAGGACCATGTCGACTTTTAAAACTAGGTCATAAAATTGTAAAGCATCAGGGGATTCAGCTGTATGAATTCGGGATTTGCAGGGACCAATGAGCCAAAGCAGAGCTAAGAGTGTTTAGGTTCCACAGCTATTGCAGTTTTAGGGTCTCTTTTGTTGAACCAAAAATTACTCTCTCCGTTCCAAAATAAGTCTCATCCTATAATTTGCACATAGTTTAAGAAACTCTTAAATAGAGTAATAAAATTACTTGAATATCCTCAACTTAACTCCATTAAAAAAATGTCTACCATTAGTATTAATTTCTTAAGGGTAATTTTGGAAATTTTAGACAAAAAGTGTATTGAAATGTGAGAACGATACTTATTTTAAAATTTCTGTATTTTGCTAAAACGACACTTATTTTGAAATGGAGAGAGTACAAGAAATGTTGTTGTTTATCAAAAAACAGCCAAATACTACTAATCCAGGCTATCTTCAAATTTCTTCCTTAAAAATACTACTAATCCACACAAAGAATACCGAGATACTCCCTCCGTCCCATAGTTATTGTCCAGTTTGGATTTTCATTTCTAGTTCAAATTATACTAAAAGTGAAATATCAAATTGGACAATAATTTTGGGACAGATGGAGTAAAAAAAAAAGAAAGAAAATTGATGGCTGATTTAAAATTCCCAACTATTTTGTAGTACAAAAGAGTATTTCAAGACAAAAGCCCCCGACTACACCAAGAGAGAGCGAGTTTAAGAACTCAAATTTAAACTACTCCAGACAAAAGCATTTTCCAAGAATGGTCACACAAGGGCGACATACAAGACAACAAACGCAACACAATAAAAAGCCGAAAGGACCACATGCATCACAAATACAAAAAAGGGGCCTCAATGCATCACAAAGTGGCTTCAATGCACCACAAAAAGCTCCACATCCATTACAGAAAGCTCCACATCCATCAGCACAAGCTCCACATGCGTCGCAAACAGCTTTACAACCATCAACAAACGACCTGATTTCAGACGGAAAATCATTATAAACCTCAAGTTCGTCGTTTCCCATTTCTCGCTGTTCCTCGAGAATTTCCGTGGCTGATGGAAAGGCTAGCGGACACCAACTCATGTCTATCTTCTTCAAGGTTGGAATGTCTCCCAAACTGGTCGGAATCCCACGGAGCGCGAAACAGTGTGTCACTTTTAGTTGTTCAAGCTTTGGGAATGGCTCATCCTCGACAGTCCATTCTTCGAGTCCCAAAAAAGAGAGTTCCAAGTACTTAAGTGTCAAGAATTCGCCATCTTCCACATCCCATCTACTTCCTGAAAATGCCTTATGCCTTAATTTGAGAACCTCCAGATTCGGTAATTGCCCGATTATCGATATGAAACTCCATTCCATCCCCATCTCTTCTAGTGTCAACTTCTTGAGACTACTTGGAAAATCAAAGGCTGGAAACCTATACCTTTTCTTGCCATAACGCACCTCATCGCTGCCAAACACGGAAACAGATTCGAGATGAGTCAGGAGACTCAACTCCGGAAACTCAGAGGAAACAATGTCAAGGAGTTCAAACTTGAGTTTACGAATCCCTGGCAGCCTTCTCAGCAATTCCGTTATTTCATCTTCTAAATCAAGAATCGGTTTCGACAAAATCTCCAAGTGCTCTAACTGGCCGTATTCATGATCCTCAAGACCATTTAAATACAGCTTACCAACATGTAGATGACTCAAGCTTTTCATCTGCCAGAAGAACTCTGGCAAAACAATTTTCGATTCAGGCAATCTCAAGGTTCTCAAATTCCATAGATTGACAATGGATTCTGGAAGTTCTGTAGCCTCACAACCAATTTCAAGGTGTCTCAAATGAACAATCAATGTTACTTCTGGAGGAAAAGGACCGTGTATAATGATAGACTCCAAATTCAACACATTAAGAAGTCTGAATCTGTTTAAAAAGGTAAGAGAATGGTTCCATTCAATCCACCAACCAAAGTAGCCTAAAGAGCGGACAAATGAACCTGAAGGTTTAGCATCAACAAAATTGGTCCATTCATGAATGCACAGACGATAGTTCGCATACTTTATGGTATTCAAGGAAGAATGAGAAATTTCCCTACCATTGACACATTGTAAGAAGTTTTCTTCTCTAACCTTCTCTGAGCATAGCTCGTGCAGTAAATCATGGACACAGCATTCTTTTACCCCACCAATGGAACTTCTCTTTGCAAGGGTTACTAGATTTCGATTTATAAGATCATACAAGTAAGCCTCTGCCAATTCATACGAGCTCTTTTCATCGTTTCTTGGTATGAGCCCTTCCGCGATCCACAAACTCATCAGGTATTGAGCTTTCACAACTTTAGCCCTTTGAAATGCGTCAAAATAGAGGAAGCAGGGCTTCAAATTGTCTGGTAAATGCTTGTAACTTAGTTCAAGCGCATCCATGCACCTTTCACTAACAACTTGTATACTGCTGCGGAATTCAATCTGTTTCCAGAATTCTCTGTCCTGGCCTTCCAATGTACCTGCGATCAAAACCACCGCCAGAGGCAACCCTTCGGTGTTCTTAGCAATCATTTCACCAATTTTTGATAATTCATCATCCAGAAGAGAAATTTGTTGGTGGGATAGTTTCATTTTCAATAACTCCCAACTCTGCTCATCAGAAAGTGGCTGAAGAGGATGAATGATGCAATTCATCGGATTTGGTTGCGACCACAAGTTAGTGATTCGACTGGTGAATATGATACGGCTTCCATTGTTATCATTCGGGAATGTAAATTTTATGCTCTTCCATGCTCCAATGTCCCAAATGTCATCTAAAACAATGAGATACCTTCGTCCCTTCAAGTTTTTCCGGATTTTTTCAGCCAAATCATAACCACTATTGTTGGAGTCAGATTGCAAATCCTCACTACTAATTTGAGTAAGAATTTCAAAGTACAGCTGCCAATGATTGCACTTTTGCGAAACACAAAACCATGCCCGTTTATGGAAGTAACTTCGGATAGACGGATCATTGTAGAGTTTTTGTACCAGAGCTGACTTACCGAGGCCGGGCATACCTACAATGGATACGATTTGAAGCTGTTTCGTTCCTCTTGTGAGTTTCTCAATTTTCATCTCCGACTCGTCTTCCCTACCCACCACAACATCTTGATGGTTTGAAAGATTTGCTTGGCTTGTGGGGATGAAACTAGAATCTGTCCCATTTCTTGACATTTCCGTATTCGGCAGCTGAATGTTGTACTTTTTCACCTCATTTTGAAGGAGCCTAACTGCCTGTAAAACATCTGAAAGACGTAACATGTCGTACCAAATAGGATTATCTAATGTTAAACAGGAGCTAATGACATGATCTGTTAGCAACATCATATTGATAATTTGTTTACAAAGTTCTTTCAGATCTCTTCTCTCCTTTTGTAACTCCATGATAATTTCGAGGTGCGGTTTAAGGGAAGAAACCTCCTCATAGACTATCATAACTTCATGCTTTGTGAAAGAAATTCTGTTGTGATTGCATTTCATCATTTCCTTCAAATTCTCCAACAAGAAGTTAATAAATCCCATGACATTCGTCGTTGGAAATTTGAAGTCTAATGGACTCAAAATCGGAACATAAAGTTCCCTGATATCCTCTCTTACTTTGTCAATCTTTTCATGGAGACTAAACATGTCAACTTTTGATTCATCCATGCAAAGTGAGAGAACGAGAGATAGTAACTAATTGATGGCATCATCTCTTGTGAAAAGATCATCTTCTCTAGCATTTGTTACAACTTCCTCTGCTGGATCCATGCAGAAAGTTATGATGAATATCAACCCATCTTTAAGTATCTCAACTTGATCCTTGAAACGATCCACTGAACATTGTACTAGAAAATCAACAAGGATGACAAGAACTTGACCGACTTCGAACTTGTTAGGTCTTGATACTTCCAGGAGTCCTATGAACCTCCTTCCTGCAGTAGCATTTGAAGCGGGCTTTTTCAGCTTTTGCTGAAGATTAGAAAGAACAATTTCCAATCTCTGGGGCCCCGTTTCATCCACTTTCAGTATGGATCTAAGGGACAACAATGCAGCATCCTGTACCAAATCCTTCACGTAGTTCAAGAATTCTTCCATTATCTGACAGTGAAGGCGTCTTTTCGCAGAGAGATTCAGAAGGATTCTTAAGAAACAGAACACTTCTCTAAGAGCCATGTTTTGATTCTTCACAGGAACCGGAATATCAACAGCTTTCAAGCCGACAAGAACCTGGAAATTCTCGACTAGGCAGTCGACGAATTCCAGGATCTCATCAGTGGAGCAGGACATGGATTTGAATAAATCCAATGAAACAACACACACGTTTCGAATCTCTGCCTCTAATGGCTCAAATTTGTACAGCAAACGAGGTGCCAGAGAGAGCAAATCTTGAACCCCAACTTTATGGGAAGAATGAAAAACACTGACTTCTTTCAGCTTAACTTCAAACTGAATAAATGCAGCCATCAGATCAAAGATTTGATCAGGTTCCGCATGCTGGCTAACGCGGCCAAAAAACAACATCAGGAATCTCAACTCTTGCAGAAGAATATCAGGAAAGGCAGATGAAATCTCTACTCTACCAAGTTCTTCAACAATAGAATCAACTCCAGCGGAAGTGCTAGCCATCTTTTGATCTGTTTCTTTACTCGCTGCTCTCTCTATCAGTCTAACTCTCTCACAGAAGAAGAAAACGTTTCCTGCGAAATGCTAAATAGTACAATCTCTGAAGAAATGCTGCGGATTTTAGTCCTCTTAGCTGGTCAACCATCAGTAATAGTATCATAATTATTTCGCCTTTAATGTTGTTTGGTGTGTGTCTCATTCTCATCCCAAGTTGCAGTAATTATTACTTCTTAGTCCCAAAACGAAAATTCAAAACCCGACTATAATTTTGGGACGTAAGGAGTAGTATTTTTAAAGGGACTAAAATGTTCAAATGGCCCCTCGCATTTGGGCTCACTTGAATTTATATTTCTAACGTTAATATTTCAATATCGTGGTTTCAAACATTATGTTTTCACACATTTTTAGTCTCATTTCACTGTTTTGACCACTTTTCCATCCAGTTTGATGTTGAATGGCAGTTGACATGCTAGAATCAGGGGTATTTTTATATTTTCATATAATTTGAACTTTAATTAAAATTTAAATCATTAAAAAAATTATAAAAATTCATATTTATTATTTAGTTATTAAAATATTATTTATTAATTTAAAATATTATTTTAAAATTCTAAAATCTAAATTATTTTAAAAGATATATTTTTCTTTATCATTTACTTTAGGTACAAAGTAAATATTAATTATATTAAACTTTTAACCCCGACCCACTGTAAGTTTAAAAATTTACTGAGTCACAGTAAATCATTCAAAATTCGAAAAAAAAAAGAAGCAAAACCAAGGTTTTTTACTTTGACGCTACAATAAATCCTAAATTATTTCTAAAATTTTACCGTGCTACAGTAATTAATTCAAAATCCAAACTTTTTTTAACAATGAAAAAGCAAGAAAATTGTGGGGTGAAAATCCGGATAAAAAATAGTTTATATAGTTATTGGTTCGAATTGAAGATAAAATTTAAAATGTGATTTTAGTGAAAAATCAAAAAGTTCTTGGAATAGTATTTTAAATAAAATAATAATATTTTTACACCACCACCTCCGCCGCCGCGGCGTGCCGTCGGACTACCCGCTGCCGCCGCCTGGCCGGCGACCGGGTTCCAACGATTCGCCAACATAATCAACTCCAGCGAAAGTGCTAGCCATCTTTTGATCTGTTTCTTTACTCGTTGCTTTCTCTATCAGTCTATCTCTCTCTCAGAAGAAGAAAACGATTCCTGTGAAATGCTGAATAGTACAATCTCTGAAGAAATGCTGTGGATTTTAGTCCTCTTAGCTAGTCAACCATCAATAATAGTATTATAATTATTTTGCCTTTAATGTTTTTTGGTTTGTGTCTCATTCCCATCCCAAGTTGCAGTAATTATTACTTCTTAGTCCCAAAACAAAAATTCAAAACCCGACTATAATATTAGGACATAAAGAGCAGTATTTTTAAGGGGCCTATACCATTTCTTCCAAATACCCACTTTCCAACCCATCACTTCCAGCCTGGAAATTGGTTCGTGAACTTATTGTTTTGATGACTGATATTGCTCATGGTTGCGAGGTTTGATGGTGACTGCTGCTATGGAGGTCATAAGTGCGATTGGAAAAGTGGTTACAGACTTTCAGAAGTATATGCATCTCAACTTGCTAATTTTTCAGGCTATCTGTTATTAATTTTTTGTATCTCGGTTCAATAGGAGTTGTTTCTATCTTTGTTGTGGTACATTTCACCTGTGTGTATCAAAATACTCGTTAACTAATTTTGAATAAGAGTAGGCAAGTTTTTTCTGAATTTTTTCATTTTTACTTCAAAAGTTTGTAGATGATAAAAAAAAAATGAAAAATTGACAAAAGTTAACCAAGTTAAATGCCAAAAATTTGTTAATTAAAGTTTAAAATACTTCATGACTAAATTGAAGTTGGTCTCATGACTAACTTGACAATTTTTCCTATTTAAATTGGTTATCTGGCATCCAGTCGCGTTATTTTGCTTGCTAAAACACTTCCTATATATGTTTAAGCAAGGTTTATTTAGTCGTTCTAAAATGATTGTGACAGTCCATATCCACCGAGGATTACCGGACCGACCCATCTACCAATTATGGTCCAACCGACTTTACAGAGGCAGTTCTAGAACATGAAACCTAATGGGATTCGGCATCCCTCGAGGTAATTCTATGCCTATAAATAGGGTTTTGATCACACCACAATACGAGTACGCTATCTCTAGCACAAAACACTACTCATATACGTTCCTTAAACCCTTTTACTGACTTAAGCATCAGAGTGTCTACCATCGGGAGACCCCCAAGGCCCTCTTTTGCAGAAAACTCTAGACGGAGTTTCGCTGTCAAGCCGACGATACTATTCCAGGCTTTGTCAAGTGGCACGCCCAATGGGACCCGAAAACTAGGGTTTGTGTCACAAAAACCTTCTCAGGTTTCCCCAATCTTCTACAGGTGCAATTTAGGGTTTATAGAACCATCTACACAATGGCCAGGGTTGAAGAAGATGAGAACAACACGGCATCTTCGGGTAGGCGGCGTAGCCCAGCCGATGACACTACCCTGGCAGAGTTCCAAAAAGAAAGGATAGGAAGAAGGCAGGAAGAAACCATGAAAAAGGGCCCGAAAAGGAACCAGAGAAAGAACGTTTGGTCCTTGGCTCCTCCCAACCCCATCTGAAGAAATCAGACAATACCAATCCAGTGACGGAAAAGGAAGATTTCCATCCACCTCGGATTATCGCAACATCAAAGAAACGTTTGGAGGATAAAAAATTGGCCAAGATTGAGGCCAAACTCAAGAAGCTGCACGATGACAGCGATCTTAATCAAAGGATGAAAAAGAATGTCCTGCAGGAGTCCAAACGCCGCTGTCTCCTTGGACAACCTGATCCAACTGATCAAGAATTGGCTGACCTGATTGAGGAGAAGGAGGCCCATCGCACCTTAGACCTTCTCAGGCGAGATGAGGTAAGAGAAAAGTCCAAGAAGAGGAGGACTATCAAGAGTTCTTGGATCGAGAAGGCTTCGTGGAAGATCATTCAACCGCCACACGAGACACTTCTACTGGAACGCTTTTAGGAAGAATACCCAGCCTTCGATATAGCCCTTGAAGAGTTTGATGCAATATACAAATGCAAGGGTCCTCGAGATCACTACCAACGGAGATCCCCAAGCGTCGAATTCGTGGGAGAAGGAGATTGGAATCTCGCAAGAAAGACCAATGTCCACGACCGATTGGGACATAATTGGCATCAAGAAAGTCCTCAAAGGGAGGATTACAGACCCTTCCACAGACAGGCTCGCGAGAACAATGACGCTGGAAGAGGATATAGATGGGGGAATAACTGTTATTCTCAGTACTCACCACCAAGGCGCCAACAACCTAACCTTCATGAGGAGTTACTACCTTACCCTTCTCGAAATCAGCAAGCGATAAGGGGGTAGAATGTCCCAATTCGAGAAGAGATAAGAAGGATCATTGGAATGGCTGTGGACCGTAGCCCTTTTGCACCGGAAATTCGAGATGAGTCGAAGCCCTAGGACTTTGACTTTCCCAAGGATTTCACAAAATACTCAGGAGATACTAATGTCTCCCATTGGCTACAGGGATATGTCCATGTCATGAGAATCAGGAATGAACCGTTAAACTTCATGGCTAAGGCCTTGCCCTCTTATCAGACCGGGCAAACAAAACGGTGGTTTGGATAGTTACCGAAAGGAAGTATAATCAGTTTTGAAGACTTGTCCATCAAATTGGCCACCCGTTTCTTCCAAAGTAAACAGATCACCAGGATGTCCCTTGATCTCTCCACGATTAAGCAAGGTCAACAGGAAAGTCTCTCAGATTTCCATCGGCGTTTCATCCGAGAAACTCTACAAATTGCAAACATAGACGAATGAGACATTCAGAATGGGTTCATCCAAGGGCTTAATCCGTTTGGGAAGTCCTCGATGCTAAGGGTAAAGCTCTCGACTAAAACTCCTAGGAATTCTTAGGAGATGTGGGCTATTGTCGAGAATCACATTCAACGAGAGCATACATTCAAGCGATCGCAAGAGTCTTTTACATTAATCGGGACGAGGGACAAGCCCAAAGTTTCCATGGAAAACAGGACAACGTTGCCTAAGCTTGATAGGCAGTTGACCCCTCTAACCAAACCTCGTTGGGAAATTCTTCAGATCCACAAGGATGAGCTGCCAACCCCAAAACACTTGGCTCCTAATCCAAACAGGTCGACGGAGCAATACTGCGAGTACCACAAAGATCATGGCCATGACACCGAGGAGTGTCGAGAATTGAAAAGGGAGATCGAGAATGGAGTTAACTCCGAAAAATTTTGGCAATATGTGCAAGGATCTTTTTGACAAAGAAACAGTAAGCCTATTGTATCCCGAAACTTCCCAAGACGAAATATCTGGGGTCCTCGAGGAGAAAATCGAGAAAATAATTGGCAACCAAGGAACAATGAACAGCAAGCTCCCTAACAAGCCATTGAAGGAGCACCACAACCGCTTTAGCATGTTCCTCCAGCGGATCTTACCAAGAAAATCACTCATCAGGTGGGAGCAATTTATGGAGCCTCTCTCGAGGTCTTGTCAACTACAACCATTAAAAACTCGGTACAGACCGTTACCAAGACTCCTCCCTAAGAACCTAGCCACAAAAGATTCAAAGGGACAGAGGCCATAGTCTTTATTAACAGTGACGTGGTTCCCGATATTTGCCCCATAGTGACGCCATGGTCATCGAAGCGATAATCGGGAACTTGCAAGTAAGTCGGGTTTATGTGGATAACGGTAGTGCAGTCGACATCATATACAACGATTGCTTCAAGAAGATGAACATCCATAACCCCGATATCCGCCCAGTAACATTACCATTGATGGACTTCTCAGGTCATACTATTATTCCAACGGGAATCGTAAGACTCCCGTCACGGTAGAGTCGGATCCCATAATGGTTGCACTAACCATGGATTTTACCTTACTAGATGCACCCTTGCCGTTCAATGTGATCTTAGGACGACCATGGATGTGTCAAGCTCGAGCAGTTTTGTCTCCTTATCACTTGGTGATAAAATTTCCAACAAAATACGGAGCAAGAGTGGTGCAAGGATGTCAATGCGTATCTTGAGAATGTTTGCTCACAGCAGTTAAGAATGGAAAGAAGACCATGAAGTCTAACACAAGCACTCCCGTGTC